ATATCTGTAATGGCCTTTTAGCAAAGGAACAAGAACAAGACCTAAACAAGTACAATGGAGTGAGAATATGCCTCGCATCCTAAATCACTTCTGGATGCAGGTTGGTGTTCTACCACCGCACTAGGTACCGGCATGGGTGGCCGCTTAGCATCTGATGGATCAGGTTCGTCGTCACTCAACGGTATTATATCGGAGCAAATCGCCGCTGTACGACGCTAAACACATTTAAGTCGATTAGAAAAAGAACTGGAATTGAAGAAATTATTGAAAAGAAGCACAAGAAACCTTGAGAACTCACTTTGAGTAGAGCTGTTCCACTTTCATGCGCCAGTGCTGATACTGCTGCAATGTGATGAGAATTAGTGAATGAATGTTGATGGGATTGCCACGACGAAGAGCAAGAAGAATTTGACGCATTCCTCACACCATTAGTAAAGTCGCCAACACTACCAGGAACATTCGTTGATATCGATCTTGGTGCGATGACACGACCAAAAGCCTGAATTAAAAAAAGCAGTGACGCGCTATCGGCTTGCTGAAATCTTTTGCAACATTGCTGGAAAAGCACATTTCGGATCATTTCTAGGGAATAGAACCGCCGCAACCGATGAGCCTTCCCTAGGACTTTGTTTGTAGACACTATTGCGGGAAAACTAGATTCCAAAGGCCAGTTTCATGACTAGCTTCTTCAAAAAAAAAACAACTTCGTTCAACAAGACGTTAAGCTATAAGATAGGATGTAACAATATTAGCTCAACACTTATAGATAACGTTTGCTAAAGCTTCCAACACTTGCGCTCCTACATGTCTCCGCGACAGTGAAAGAAACCGTGGTCACCTAAAACTTAAATTCGTTGATTACCAGCTATATTAATTCATGCCTGCGTTGGAGTATTTTCGTGCATACAAACTGTATTCTATGAGTCAATTCAGCCAATCTAAATGCAATATGGAAGCATATGGGAGGCGATTGGAAAGTACTTCATAATTAATACGCTGCTCCTTCTATTCTGGGAGAGACTGGCAAGCCACACGTGAGTATTCCTAGCCCACACGTTCAAAGATCGGCAAGCTATACGTGGCTATCCAAAAGCTGAACGCAGTAAAATGAATGGGCCTCATTCTCTCCACCCCGAAATATCCTCCAATTCCGTATCATTGGGCAAGAAGAGCACGAAAGTCTGCTAAAAAATCTCAAAAAATCTCAGAGGCATTCTT